AAAAAAAAATCTGGTAATTCTTTGTTTTTATATTCATCGGGTCCCAATATGCCCAAATATCAAAGAGAAATTAAAAATGCATGCCATGGAAGAGTTCGAGTCTTAGGAGGTTAAAAGCAATTCTTATGGACTTGTCTCTGCCCAAAAGAAACTAGATGAGCCTTTGAAAACTTCTGGACTCTAAGAAGAGGGAATCAATCTTTTGCATTCAAATAAAAAAACACCAAAAAACCCAAAAGAATTTAGGCACCATTTGAGGATACAGTAAAATCACGGAGGAGGACAGTATTAACTTGTAAAATATGTGATTAGTTAGTCTTTTAGATAGACCATATAAAGGAACGTGAAACCTAAGCAACAGTGGTCCGGAAATCAGGGTGTGCTTTAAATGTAAAGGGCAAAAGTACAGACAACAGCCGTAAAACAAAGTATTGTCTGCATATATTCAGTCAAAGAGCAGTGAGGTGGGCATTATAGCAGCTTTTTGCTGAACAAAGTACATCAGTGTTTCCAAGCATGGCCTTTTGTGGTCTATGTGTGGATCTTAAATTCTGTGTGAGAATTTTTTTTTTTTTTTCCTCTCTCGTCTTTGTGCCTCTTGCCTGCGGTACCTGCAGCGATCTGACCTGTTCGTGAGTTTGAGTCGGATCAAAACAAATCATTTTAAGCAGTTTGGAATGCGTCCTCCCTGTTGGTGGGTGAATGGTAGCGCTTAAGGGAAATGGGGATTGTGTTGAAGGGAGAGAAAAGTGTGTTTGGGAAAGGGTAAAAATTAGGTTAAGCTGAAGTTAAATCTTCCCAGGTGGTGTCGGGATTTTTCTCAATGCACCTCTTTTAAGAAACCAGCTTATGTTATGTTTTTCGTTCGGTGTATCACAAATTGTATATCTTCAGACCTACCAAGCTCTTATGGAAGGGCTGATAGATGAATGAGCAGGTGAACCTGAGGTCACTGATGGAAGAATGTTAGTGCTATGTGCATGTGTGTTAAAGGCATAGTACATTGTTATGTATTTTAGCATTGATGTCCAAGTTAACTACAGCACATATTCATCTTGTTAGTTATAGAAAACAGTATTCTAGTTTATTCAAGAACACTTAGTCAGTGATAGACCATTTAATTTTAACCCTGAACTAATGGGTGGGTTGTTTTCCAGCCTTGCTTTTCTGCAGGCTTCACCTCGAGTGATGTGTGCTGACCACATTTCTTATGGACATGATTTCCAGTGAAAGAGGTGGAGGAACAACTAAACATGTGAAAAAAGGGCAAAAGTATACTACTGCTCTCTGTGAAGCTAAGACTTGTTGACTTTGGTTGCATGACGACGCATCTGAAGTCAGAGTGTTGTTAGACTTTCCCATTGTAGCTTGTAAAAATCAATAAGAAGATGTTTTTAAAGCTCATCACAGTAATTACCAATACAGAAAACAGTGTGCATTTATGAAGCCATACTGACATCACTACTGTAAGACATAAGTTAGGTGCCCGGACTGAGATTTTTTTCTAATTTCACATGAAATATATTAGGCTCCCTTTTAAATAAGTGAAATAGGATATCAGTGTAATTGTGTGTCACCACTGACTGCTCATGTGATAAACAAAACAGTGACCCTTTTGTTGAT